TTTCAATGATATTTATTTATTAAATTATAATTTTATAATGAATTAATCAATACTCCAATCGATTACATAAATTACAGAAAGTGAGTATAAATTTCAATCGATTACAGAGTGATCATAAATTTATTGATATTTATTTATTAAATTGTTGCATTACAAATACTCTAATGAATTATATAAATTCTAGGGGGTAAGTATAAATTTTATAAATTTCAGCAATATTAATGACGTAAAAAATCAAACTTCAGAACTATAGTCATATAAATTGCTAGATAGTAAGTAAAAAGTTCGTTTGTTTTATTTACTAAATCTGATTAAAATTGAGAATTATTTAACAATTTTCAGATCGTAAGTATAGATTTAAATGTTTATGCTGAAAATTTTATAAATAATTAATTGCATAAAAATATTAGAAAGTGAGTATAAAATACGCGTTATTTATTATACTTTATTATGAACTATTATAATTATTTGTATTGATTACTAGAACGTGAGTATAAAATATTAATGATGTTCGTTAAGCCTGATATATAATTAAATTAATTTAAACCAATTATAAGGGAGTGAGTATAAATTTTTATTTTAAACTGGTAATAAATCTTAAATAATAAATCCCTAAACGATTGTTATATTTATTCTAAGATTGTAAGTACGATTCATATTTGAATATAATGATTATAAACTTTTCAATTAATTACATCGAAATATTTAGTTCGTGAGTATAAGTTTTAAATATCCTATCGAAATTTTACGATAAACTATATTTTAATGTTCTAAATAATTATGTAAATTAAAAGAAAGTGCGTATATTTTCGATAATATTTAATTAGTCTGAATTTAACAATAAATCATTAACATTTCTGATCGATGGTAATTTAGAAGGTGGATAAAATTTTTTTATAAATATCATTTATTTAGTCAGAATTTTGTAATTAATTAATGTATTCAAATCACTTATTTAATTAATATACAGAATGTGAGTATAAGTATCAGTAATATTGATTAGTAGAATTTCAAAATTAATACTTCAATAAATTAAATAAACTTCAGGAAGTGAGTATAAAATTTATCTACTTTTATTTATTAAATGGCATGAACTCTAATTAATTATAAATTACAGAACGTAAGTATAGATATGACTCTCAAATTATTTGCTACTGACGGATGGTAAAATAATTCTCTAAGCAATTTCTGATGGATAATTGACAAATGAAGAAACTTATAACGAACAATAAAATCCATTACACCTGATGAAATTTATTGTTCTTTTTCTAATATGGAGTTAAATAAACAATTCAATGTAAGTCTAATCGCTTTTAGAAAAATTTATTTAGAAGTTTTATATACCAGAACAAAGCATATAGGTTATAGCTAAAATTAAGTAAAAATTTTTTGCAATATGCGGTTTATCACTGCCACTTATTAATTTATTCAGTAAAAGTGCAAATTGCATAAGATTATTAATGTCTATTCGTGAATGTTGATTCAGAGATTTTTAATTAAGTAGATAGATCATAGCATATTATGTAAACTCTTATATTAAATAGTGTCTATTAGATGATAAATTCAAACTTTATTGATCAATTATACAGTAAAAATATGCCATCCGTTGCTTGACTGATCATAACATACTTATTTTACTGTAAATATTTACCGTTCATCAAGGGTTTCATCAATTTGTCAAGGTTCCATCAGATTGCACGTGACGAATGTTTATAATTATTACTAAGACATTTATAACAAACAAACCTTATCATATAAATTATAGAAGGTTGGTATAAATCAGCATTACTTCATCGACATTACAATTTGCTAAAAATATATACAGTACTTGCAACTAAGCAAATGCTAACTAACCCTATGTGATGTCGGTTAAATGAACCTTTGGTAAAATGACTGTCGGTGAAGCGAGCAGGGCCATTTCAAAAATATTTATTTATTGAATCAAATTTTAATTAATCTATACATTTAACTACATAAATTACAGCATGTAGGCATAATTTTTAAGAAATATCTATTAGGTTGAACTTATAAGAATTAATAAATTATGAACTTTAATATTATAGGTAATTATTGCATCTAATGAAAAGTATGAAATACCAGAAAACCTTAAAAAAACATTCAAAAGGGCAATAAATGATGTAAAAGAATCACCAGAAATTTTAAGAAAAGTGATAAATGACGTAAAAGAACTATCAGAACATCAAGTCAAAAAATATTTTCAAGAATTTGATCAACAACTTAAAGATTTTGATAACAAAGTTTTGAAAATCAAAGATTTTGACATGATTGATTTAGCATTTAATATTCTTTTCAATTTAGCTAATTTAAAAACTAAAATTTTTTCATTTATTGAAAAAATGGATAATTTTAACTTGGAAGTCATTTTTTCAAATGAATTTGTTTCATTAATTAATGAAATTGATAAACATTTAAAACCTTTGTCTGAATGGAAAAATATTTGCATCAAGATAATTAACCAATTTAAAGTTCTTAATAATTTTATTGAAAATATAAAAGATAATTTGTTTTATTTTGAAATTCAAGAAAAATTATTAATCAAAATGGATGAAATGAAAAATAAATTACTTGATAAGTCAAAAAATATTGATGAATATGAATTAAAAAAAAGAGTAGTTTTAGGTCAAAATATTATGAAAAGGTAAAAAATAATTAATTATTTTTAATAATTATATTATACTTATATTTTTTATTTTAGAAAATAAAAGATAATAATGATGCAATCTATTAAGACTTTTTTCATATGATTGGATTAAAACTAGTATATAATTTAATTGTTGAACTGGAATGTATGGCAAAGAGACTAGTTTTTTTGGAACCAATTTCTATTCAAAAAATATTAGGTATATTTAACTATTTATATTTTTTTAACAAAATTTATTTTTAAATTTGTATTTTATTATAGATTTTTTGAACAATCTTAATTATGAGTTAGAACAAGTTGAAGATTTAATGAAAGTTTTTAAGAAAAGTGAATTATGTTTAAAAGATTATTGGTTTGATTATATTGTTAAAAGTTTGTCAAAAATAAGTATCTTAATTAATAATTTTTGTAACCAAATTGTAGTTAAAAAGGTTGTAAAAATTGATTATGTTTGAGTGTACTATAAGAAAAGACAATTATATTATTTAGATAATTATTATAACTATTATTTTTATTAAAAACTATTGATATAAGCATTAGATCTTATTAGGAACTTAAAAAAATATTAAACTTTTATTAATTTAAGTATAATTATTAAATGTTATTTTTTTCTTATATAATTGTTTTCTATATAATTATATTATTGTAAACTTTTTTTACAATTATGCTAAGACCTACAATGTTTTACTAATAAACTTTTAAAAAAACTTTTTTATAAACATATTATAATAAAAGCTTTTATATAATTACACAATTTGTATAATATTTATAGATTATTTTTTTTTTTTGGAGTTAAGGTGAGGTCATGCCTCAGGTCTGTTTATTCGAACATATTGTTACAGTTTGTAC